TTTAGGGTATAGGGTTGAGGGTTTAGGGTTTAGGGTTGAGGGTTGAGGGTTGAGGCTTGAGGGTTTAGGAATTGGGGGTTTAGGGTTAGGGACTTGAAGTTTTGGGTTTGGGGTGTGAGAGGTTGGGGGCTTCGGGGCTTTGGAGTTTGGGCTTCAGGGCTTGGGGTTCAGGCTGAGTCCCTAAACCCTAAACCCTAAACCCTAAACCCTAAACCCTAAACCCGAAACCCTCAACCCTCAACCCTCAACCCTCAACCCTAAACCCTGAACCCTAAACCCTAAACCCTAAACCCAAAAACGGGGGTGGTTTTGAGGGCGTGTTGGGGTTGAGCTTTTGGGGCCCCCACCCCGATATTGCGGAGGTGTGGCGGTGCGCGAGCGCTGCCTTTGCGACGTCCGACGCTTCCTGGACCAGGATGCAGATCCCAGCTGCAGAGATGCCTCCGGAAAGACGGCCGCTAGGACCTCCACTGGTGCGCTTGTCCCCTTTTTTCGGACCAGGTTCCCAAATAAGCCCCAATTGCGTAGCAAGGCCCCAAGAAACCTCCGTGTTGATTCCTAGGTGGGGAACCTCATATAGGGGTCGGACCAATTTCTCATAGTATAGTCTTTTGTAAACCCTCTTCTAATTCTTAAGGCCCCCTCATAGTTAGGCCCTAATGCTGGCCGCGGAAGCTGGGCATCTGGAGAGCTGCCTGTTACTCCTGGAGGCGCAAGCCGACCTGAACGCGCGGGTCGGCGACGACCAGCTGGGCGGCACGGTGCTGCGCTACGCGCAGCGGGGCCCGACGATGGCGTTCCTGTCCGCGCTTCTCGGCCAGCAGCCGAACACGAAGGACCTGGCGCCGGCCTTGAACCACCCAGCCGCCAAGAAGCTCCTGAAAGCATACCAGCCGAAGATGTATGAAGATGTCGCAGAAACACCAGCTGTGAAGCTCGAGGCAGAATCGCAGCCGGCAAAGCCTCCGAAGACCGTCTGGCCAAGGGCAGAGCGAAGCAGCTGCCCGGTTGCAATTCTCATATCTGTGCTTTTATGGTGGCCGTGATCATCACTCTTTTCCTCGTATTTCTATTGTTGCTACCCTTATTCTATAAATCCTGTCTGTGGCCATACCACCGGTTATGATATCATCTGTTCCCCGAAACTTTTGTATCGTTTGTTGCTGCCCCGAACTCTACCCTCAGCCCTAAGGCGAAGGGTTTCGGGGCCTGGCTTTGTTGTTGAGGCTTTTGTCCTAAGCCTAAGCCTCTGAACCCTATCGTCGGCCTCCCAAAATTTGGGCAATGTAACCTTAGGGAAGACCACCCGCCTGGGCCCCCCGAGCTCCCCCCCCCAGCGCCCCAACCCCCAAGCCCTGTTGGAGTTGAGGGTTTGTTGGTTCAGGGTCTAGGGATTTTTCGGTTTAAGGCCTCAGTTTCAGTATTAAAATAAGAAGTAGATGTAACCCGTAATTCTCCATGTAAGCCATAGACACCCTCATCCCTCAATTGCTTGCAGGCAAGTACACCGTCGTTGTCAACAACTGCGCCGTGCGAGCGGCCCCGCGAAGGGACGCCGAGGCGGTGGGTGCGCGGAGTCGGGGCAGCCTGACGTGGGCAGGGTTTAGGGTTTAGCGTGTAGGGTTTAGGGTTTAGGGTTTAGGGTTTAGGGTTTAGGGTTCAGGGTTCAGGGTTTAGGGAGTTTAGGGTTCACGTTTAGGGTTCAGGGTGTAGAGTTTAGGGTTTAAGGCTCAGGACCCTAGAGTAGTTCGCTTTGCAGACACTAACCCCTACTTCGAAGCCGGAAACTCTCAACCCCTGAGCCCCCCAAACTTCGAGTTTCTACCAGGGTTTTACATGAAAACTTCGAAGCCTCCGCTTTAGGGTTTAGGGTTTAGGGTTGAAGGTTTAGGGTTTAGGGTTTTGGGTTTAAAGGGGGCTTTAAGGCAGTGTCGTGGAGCTCTTCGAGTTCGACCCAACCCGGCAGTGGCGCCGCGTCTACGCCGAGGGGGAGTCTGCCGGAGGCTGGATGCTGCTGGAGCACGAAGAGCCACCAAGCTGGGAGGTTTAGGGTTTAGGGTTTAGGGTTTAGGGTTTAGGGTGTTACGTTCTGGGTTGCTCGCTGGGCTCCGGGGCCTCACCTTGTTTTTTTCTAGCCGGCCCCTCTGCCCGAGTCGCTCGCAACATCGCGTGGCGGTAAGCCCGCCCCAAGCCACCCGGCATGTTCATTTTTTGGGTTTAGTTCCTAAAGTCTGGTTTTGCCTTTTCCAGCGGGGGCATGCTGTGCCCCTGCGCACGCTGTTTCGGCACCGTCCCGATCCAAGCCTCGCGGGGGCAGGGCTACAAAGCGGTGAAGTTCTAGCAGGGTTGGGGGGTAGCCCTTCATCATCAAAATCGGGACGGGCTTGTTTGAAGGCGTTTGGCATCCCGCATCTGCCGTCACGGAAGGCGTCGCATGTGTCTCATACAGATTGGTTTGGGCTACCGCCGGGGTACCGCTGCCCCTCGAGCGTCCCGACGTGCTTATTTGAGCACGTTTGGCATCCCAAAACAATTTGGGTTACCGAAGGGGTAGCGCTGCCCCTCGACCGGGCCAGCGTCCCGATACGACTTTCCCTTGACGAAGACTAGGCTGTGAAAGGGTCTTGGGGGTGGCCCTTCATTAGAATTTGGGCTTTAATGGTCTGGGAAGCCCAAAAGAGGCTCAGAAATGGTCTGAGACAAGCCCAAAACGTTCAGAAATGGTCTGGGAGCAGCGAGCCGAAAAAAGCTCAGCAATGGTCTGGGAGAAGCCCAAACAAGCTCAGAAATGGTCTCTGGGACAGGCTCAGAAATGGTCTGGGAGGACCATAAAAAGCTTAGAAATTGTCTGGGTGAAGCCCAAAAAAGCTCAGGAATGGTCTAGCGGGATGCTCAGGAGAAGCCCAAACAGGCTCAGAAATTGTCCGGCAGGAGCCCAAAAAAAGCTCAGAAATGGTGCGAGAAAAGCACAAAAAAATAGAAATGGTCTGGGAGAAGCCCAAAAAACCTTAGGAATGGTCTGGGGGAAGTTCAAAACGGCTCAGAAATGGTCTGGGAGGAGCCCTAAAAAGCTCACGGGGGCGGGGTTTCGGGTCTTTACCTTTGACACTCAAAGGCTCGACCGCCTTGACGGCCAGTGTGGGCCTTGCCTTGCCTTGGAGCGTCCAGCAGCCCCAGCTTTAGGCTGCACGTTCAGTGCTCTCAGGTCGCTCGCGAAGCTCGGACAGCTTCGGGCTCTCAAGTGTTGGTAGCGAGCCCTCAGCAGGACTTTAGGGTTTAGGGGTTTAGGGGTTTAGGGGTTTAGGGGTTTAGGGGTTTAGGGGTTTAGGGGTTTAGGGTTTCGGGTTTAGGGTTTAGGGGGTTGCTGCTTGGGGCTCGGGCTTTTGGGGCGTGAGGCTCGCGTTGTCGGCTTTCAGGTTCGGGGGCGTTGGGGCTTTAGGTCTCGTGTCCTCGAGGTTACGGATCCTCGAACCCTAAACCCTAAACCCTAAACCCTAAACCCTAAACCCTAAACCCTAAACCCTAAACCCTAAACCCTAAACCCTAAACCCTAAACCCCAAAAACCCTAAACCCCGAAGCGTATAGATGCCCTAGACCCCAAACCCAAAGCCCCAAACCATGCTTGGGGTTTGGAATGTAGGGTTCAGGGTACCTCCAACCCCTAAACCCAAACCCCAAACCCCAAACCCCAAACCCCAAACCCCAAACCCCAAACCCCAAACCCCAAACCGCAAACCCTAAACTATAAACCCCGAAACCCTAAACCCTAAAGCCCTAAACCCTGCAATCCCTAAACCCTCGAACCCTAAACCTTGTAAACCCTAAACCCAAAACCCTAAAGCCCTAACCCTGCAAACCCCCTGCTCCTTCCAAGAGCATCGCAAAGGTTCGGCTCCCTCCTGGAGCCTTTGCAGACGCCAGCGGATTCACCTGCGAATTGCCCACAAGAGGTGTATTGAGAAGAGCGGGCCGCGAAAACGGGTTTAGGGTTTAGGGTTGAGAGGGGGTGGGGGATATATTGAAATCACGGGCCCTAGCTGGGTTTCGCTTTCTGTTTTCAAGCTTAGGGGTGGACCTCCGCAAAAAGGTGGTTTCTGGTTCAGGGTTCTGGGTTTGGGGTGTGAACCTCATATCCTAAACCCTCAACCCCCCGAAACGATTCTGGGACTGGGACTTGGGGTGCTGGCTTCTGGGGCTTTTTTGGTTCGAGAGGTTAGGGTTTAGGTTTTCTTTTTCTGTGTTTTTGGGTGTTTGGGTTTTGGGGTTTTGGGGTTTAGTGGTTTAGGGGTTTAGGAGGGTTTTGGGGTTTTCCAGGAAGCAGCCGATCCGCTCCCTTCTGTACCCTGGCCCCAGGCCGGAAGAAGCGCGGGAACAAGCGCGGGAAGCAGGGCAAAAAGCTGGACGACCAGGACCCGGCATTCTGTGCAATAGAGGGGTCGGAATTCTTACTACGAGTATTCCTTTATGGTCCCACCTGTTCTAGTTGTAAAGGCCCCCGTATTTGCCTTTTTGGGAGTGAAGAGCTGTATATAGGCTTGGGGGATTGAGCATGACATGCTACAATGTACCCTAAACCCTAAACCCTAAACCCGAATCCCTAAACCCTGAACCCTGAACCCTAAACCCTCTTCGCTGAACACTGAACCCTTCGTGGGAGCGAAGCTTAGAAGCCCTGTGTCCCAACATGGGTACAAGTAGGTCTGCTGATCTTGGCTTTGGGCCATGTTATGTTTTTTGAGGTTCAGGGTTTTAGGGTTTAGGATTTAGTGCTACCTGTATCCCCACTTACTTGTGTTTTTGACACGGTGCTGCTGGCTGCTCTAGATCATAGCCCTTGTTGGCAGCCTAACGTATGGGGATAGATACGAGAACCGCAACCCCACAAGAGACCACTTGCAGGCGGGCACCCTGTTCTAGCTTCACAAGCGGCGAAGTATGTTCCTTCTTCTTCCGGGCTCAGGTTGCAGTGACTCCTGGAGGGACTAGAGAGGGGCGGGCCATGGCGCAAGAAGTGTTGGCTTCGCGGGCAAGGGGCTGCATGCTCGGGATCATGGTGGGCGATGCGCTCGGCGCTGCCTTCGAAGGCCGCAGCCGCGAGCTCATCCGCCAGTTTGCGCAGCAAGAGTGGCGGACAACGCTGGTGCAGGGCTTCGTCCGAGCAGTGCACATGGGGACCTACACTTCCATGAGTGGGACCTTCAAGGGCCCGTTTCAGGTGGCCCGCGGCGTTGATGACATGGCCTTTCTTCCGCCGGGCATGGACCTGCCCATGGACGTGCTTGACCAGTGCGGCCGCCAGGGGATGTACACGGATGACACCTGTGCCTGCCTAGCGGTAGCGGGCTCACTGGTGGAGTGCAGCAAGGTCGATGCGGCGCACGTCGCACGCAGGTGTGCCGAGTTCTTCCGTGACAACGAGCACTTCCGGGGCTCCCCACCCACTGCTAAGAAGGTGAACGCAGCTTGCTTGGAAGGTGTGCCCGTGGAGCTGACGGGCCTGCCTCCCTACTTCCGCTTCGAGGGAGGCTCCTTCGCCAACGGGGGAGCCATGCGCATCTCCCCCCTGGCGCTGGCCTACCGGAACGCGAGCCACGTCCCACTCCGCGTGGCGGTGGAGCAGGCGATCCTCGGTACGCATCGTCACGTTGAGGCCGTGGACTTCGCGACGCTCCAGGCGGCAGCTGTTCAGTATGCCCTGCTCCACAGCCCAGAAACCTTTTCTGCAGACGAGCTTCTGACCAACCTCCGTGACCTCTGCGAATCCAAGGACATGCTAGAGACTATGAAGGCGATCTCCCGTGCAGTGCGTTTCGTGAACATGGCCGATGCAGATGACCACGGAATCTTGGGCCCCATCCTTGGCAAGCACAAGAGGCCGGGTAGTGGTTTGGAGTTCCAGCTTGCAAGCATTCACATGGCCCCGTGTGTGTTCTGGCTAGTCTGTCGCCATTACAAGGACCCGCGACGCGCTATACAGGCAGCCATAGACCTGGGTGGAGATACAGACACCACTGCCTCAATGGTAGGCGCGATCGTTGGCGCTTTGCATGGCGACGGGTGGTGTGCTGACTGGGCCGAATCCCTAGAGAACGGAGTTCACGGGCGCGACTATGCGCTTCGACTGGCAGAGCAGCTCGTGGAGCTGGACCTGTAGTAGGCCACCGGCCGCCCAATGTGCAGACTGTACAGTGCTGCTCACTTCTCATGCGCCAAAATCAGCTAGGGACCGAAAATACCCCAAGCCCCACGTAACTTTCCAGCTCGTTGTGCAGCGAAGTCGTGCTTTTGTTAACAGGGGTACCCTATGAAAAGAGCCCTAGGTTCCTTGATCCCCGTACTTTTCTACTGGGAACCGGTAAGGTGAAAGAAGCTCAAAGCCTTAAACCCTAAACCCTAAACCCTAAACCCTAAACCCTAAACCCTAAACCCTAAACCCTAAAGCTGTCCCCCCAAAACCTTGGGGGACTTCTTAATCCCTAAACCCCCCCAAAGCCCCCGAGGGTTTAGGGTTTAGGGTTTAGGGTTTAGGGTTTAGGGTTTAGGGTTTAGGGTTTAGGGTTTAGGGACCCTAAGCCCTGGCTGTGGTGCAGGATGGCAGTGGAGGTGGCGACGCCGCCTGGAGCCAAGACCCACCGCTTGCACCACCGCCTTTCAGACCCCGGAAGCCTAGGTCCCCTCCCTAAACCCTAAACCCTAAACCCTAAACCCTAAACCCTAAACCCTAAACCCTAAACCCTAAACCCTAAACCCTAAACCCTAAACCCTAAACCCTAAACCCAAAACCCTGAACCCTGAACCCTGAACCCTGAACCCTGAACCCTAATTCCTTTGGGCGCCTGGGCTGAAGGGTCGTGCGCTTGCCACGGCAAAGGCAGCGGATGCGCCTGGAAGCGACATCGATCTTCGACGATGGGCGCTCTCGAGGGCTCAAGAGTTTTCAGGGTTTAGGGTTTAGGTTTGAGGAAATCGGAAACAGGGTTGAAGGCATTTCGCCGGGTAGGGGATGTATAGGGTTGAGGGTTTGGGGTAGGGTTGAGGATTTGGGAAGCAAGGTTTCTGATGCTCTTGCATTCAAGCCCCATCCGCGCTCCATCCCACAACCCAAAACCCAAAACCCAAAACCCTAAACCCTGAACCCTAAACCTTAAACTCTAACCCTAAACCGCCATAGCAACTGCGTGGGCCAGGTGCTGTCCCTGGGCGACACGCAGCTTGAGCAGTAAGCCGCCATGTTTCCTAGGATTTAGGGTTTAGGGTTTAGGGTTTAGGGTTTAGGGTTTAGGGTTCAGGGTCCCTGCTGAAGCTCCTTACCTTACTGGCTCGCGACATCCCAGCTTCACGCCTTGAATGGGGTTTTTTCATGGGGCGATATGAGACATGGGATTTAAGGTTTAGGGTTTAGGGTTTAGGGTTTAGGGTTTAGGGTTTAGGGGAAGAATGAGGAAGGTAACGGTACAGGAACCTCTGGGTATGGTCCCTGCGGCCTGAACCACAGTGACCCAGACACCTGGGAGGATCCAAAAAGGGTCCTCCTAAGAATCGTCCAAAAGTAGAAAAGGGTACTATTTTGGGGGTACCTACTTTTTTTGGATCCTCCCAGGGGTCTAAAACTCTAAACCCTAAACCCTAAACCCTTAACCCTTAACCCTTAAACCCTAAACCCCAAACCCTATACCCTAAACCCTATACCCTAAACCCTTTACCCTAAACCCTTCACCCCAAACCCTACTGGGGAGCCAGGCTGGTTGACATGCTGGAGCAGTGGAACTCAAACAGAAGAATGGCGCCGCTGGTGCGGGGCTTGGCGGTGTGTAGGGTTTGGGTTTAGGGTTTAGGGTTTAGGGTTTAGGGTTTAGGGTTTAGGGTTTAGGGTTTAGGGTTTGCCATTCCTGCCTCCTTACAGACCAAGACCCTACAGCCCTTCAAACCTTGCACTAAACCCGAACCCCGAACCCCGAACCCTAAACCCTAAACCCTAAACCCTAAACCCTAAACCCTAAACCCTAAACCCTAAACCCTAAACCCTGAACCCTGAACCCTAAACCCTAAACCCTAAACCCTAAACCCTAAACCCTAAACCCTAAACCCTAACCCTAAACCCTAAACCCTAAACCTTCGACCCTCGACCCTAAGCTCTAAACGCTAACCCCTAAGCCCTAAACCCCCAGTGCCCGCAAGCAATTACAAGCCCCCAAAACTACGCATAAACCCCTACAAACCTCAGAATGCCTAAGCCATGACTTGTCAGGCGCAGATGCTGTTTGCAATCCTCCTGCTCTCAGCCGCTCTCCCAGCATCCGGAGTGAAGGCAAAGGCATGCGCATCCTCACCCTTTTGCCGGGGGGCCTATGGGGTGCCGTTGTAGTTTCGTAAAGCCCTTCACCAAACCCTCCTCCCCCCCTCCCCACTCCCGAATCCCTAAATACGGCACCCTAAACCCTAAACCCTAAACCCTAAACCCTAAACCCTAAACCCTAAACCCTAAACCCTAAACCCTAAACCCTAAACCCTAAACCCTAAACCCTAAACCCTAAACCCTAAACCCTAAAACATAAACCCTAAACCCTAAACCCTAAACCCTAAACCCTAAACCCTAAACCCTAAACCCTAAACCCTAAACCCTAAACCCTAAACCCTAAACCCCAAACCCTAAACCCTAAACCCTAAACCCTAAACCCTAAACCCCACACCATATTGTGGCCCAGGTGCCCTCTTCCAAGCTCTCCTCGCTGGAAGGCTCCTCCCCTTTGATTGGGGGCTTCGGGACCCTAAGCCCCAAACCCGAAACCCTAAGTCCCAGGCCCAAGCCTCAGACCCTAAGCCCTTTACCCAATCCCTTAACCCTCTTCCTTGTGACTTCGGGAGATTCAGGGTTGTTTCTGTGGCTTCGGATGTACCCATTGTACCCTTTGGTTTGGGCGCCTCTTGAATAATCCTCTAAGGGAATATTAAGGGCCAAACTAGGAGTATGTTAAGGGAACCTCTTGCTTTAGGGGTACGAGTCTTAACCCCCCGAGTTTAGGTTCTTAGGGTTTTCGGGTCAGTGTTGATGTAATGCGGAGCCCTGACAGGGCCCTTGACTGCACAGTTCCGCTTTGAGATGTTCGGATCAACGCGTTGGCCCTGCCGCAAGGAAGATCTCAGTTTGTAGACCACAAACCCTAAACCCTAAACCCTAACCCAACTCTAAACCGCCAAGTCTTAAAGCCGAAGCTTATCCAGCCCTAAGCCCTGACCCCGCCACACCCCGCCTGTCAGGCATGAACGCCACATGCGGCAACGTCCTCTCATATGCCCAGCGACACATGGCACGTGTGGAGTCGCTGCTGCAGAAGCCGCTTGGCCGGAATGGGCTTAGTTGTGGTTTGGGGGGTCCTGGCCTCGGCCCCCAAGCCGGGTTAGGGTTTAGGGTTAAGGATTTAGGGTTAAGGGCTTAGGGTTTAGGGTCCCTCAACCCTAAACCCTGACCCCCAAACCCTGGTTGGGGTTGTTCGGGGTGCATGCAAGCTTGTGCAAGTTGGGGGAAGGGCACGCCTCGGAAGCGCAGTAGTTGAGCAAGTAGCCTTTGGCCTGTTTGTGGGGGGGGGGGGGGAGCTAGGACCTCGGTTTGGGATTCCGGGAACCCTGAACCCGAAACCCTAAGCCCTAAACACAAGCCCTAGACCACACTGTCCCAGAGATTTACCGGCTCTTAAGCAGCACCGAGATAAGAACCCCACCTTTGCACGGCATCTGGCGCGTAGGCGCCGAAAGAACTGTTGGCAGTGAGATTAAAACCCTAAACCCTCAACCCTCCCGAAGGTTCCCGAGCCGGGAAAGCTAATTGCAGGTACGCTAACAGATTCCTTTAAATAGTATTTATACACAGGTATATATGCACATACATGTAGGGAGAGAGATGGGGGGGGGGGGGGGTATGAGGGACCCAGATTCCCTAATTTCCCTACGTAGAGCCAGCAAAGTTTGGCCTTCAGAGGACCTTTCTCTTCGACCTCATCCTGCAAGACAGCAGCGGCCTGGCAGTGCAGGACTGCTTTGGGGTTTAGGGGTTTAGGGTTTAGGGTTTGTGGTTTAGGGTTTAGGGTTCAGGGTTTGGGGTTTAGGGTTTCGGGTTTAGGGTTTGGGGTTTAGGGTTTGGGGTTAGGGTTTGGGGTTTAGGGTTTGGGGTTTAGGGTTTGGGGTTTAGGGTCTGGGGTTCAGGGGTTCAGGGTTGAGGGTTTAGGGCTTAGGGTAACCGGATTTAGGGTTGGGTTTGGCGCGCGCACTTGAGGGCTTCAGGGTTTGGGATTTTAAGGTTTGGGTTTTAGGGTTCAGGTGTTGAGGGCTTGGGTTCATAGGTGTATTTGGGTTCTATGCAGCCTCTAGGTGCACTGAGTTCTTATGTTGGTTCTCCGTGAGCTTTGCTGCTCAAGCCTAATTCTGAAGCCGGTGTCTTGTAGAAGCTCCTCGAATCCCAAGCCACATCCCAAACCGTAAACCTTAAACCCTAAGCCCCAAACCCTAAGCCCCAAACCCTAAACCCCAAACCCTCAGCCCCAACCCTCAACCCTAAACCCTCGACCCCAAACCCTAAACCCTCAACCCCAAACCCTAAAACCTCAACCCCACACCCCTGACGTCTTAAACCCCTGAACCCTAAACCCCTAAGCCCTAAACCTCAAACCCTAAACCTTTGAACCCTTAAACCCCAAACCCCAAACCCCAAACCCCAAACCCCAAACCCCAAACCCCAAACCCCAAACCCCAAACCCCAAACCCCAAACCCCAAACCCCAAACCCTAAACCCTAAACCCTAAACCCTAAACCCTAAACCCTAAACCCTAAACCCTAAACCCTAAACCCTAAACCCCTTGAACCCTGAACGAAAGGATGCGGCGGAGGCCCCGAGCAACGGCAAGGAATCGCTGGACACCTCTGCCGAGGTGACTGGTCCTTTGGGTTTGGGGGTTGGGGGGGTTTAGGGTTTAGGATTTGGGGTTTAGGTTTTAGGGTTTGGGGTTCAGGGTTTAGGGTTTGGGGCGTTGAGGGTTTAGGGTTTGGGCTTGAGGAAGGGTGAAGTTAAGGGTGACTGCTTGAGCTTTCGGGTTTGTCTTTTTAGGTTGCGGGGTTTGGGCAGCAGACTTTTTGGGTTTGGGGGTTTGGGGTTTAAGGTGT